CCGAAAAACAGCCCACGACAGCGGCTTACGGGCGGCAGATACTCCTTACAATATACCAATGGCCCTACCACTGATACGCAACTGGGTGTCATCAGGGAGTGCCCCCACTGTGGGACATACTGAAGACTTCATCTGCACAAATCACCATATCTGACGGGAACACCACACAGCGGTGCTCTGTGTCGCGGACCCATCAGTTAACTTCTGCAGAAAGCCCACGCCGAAGCCGAGCCTCGACTGACGCGCCAGCCGGCCCTTCCCAGGAATGAACCGGACGCCGTCCGAGAACCGAGGGCGTCATGCTGAGCGGACCGCCGCCGTTACTGAACCGGTCTCCTTCCTCGTCGCCGCCGTCACCGTCGCCCACCTGGCGCGCAAGCCGTCTCTGCCGTCTGGCGGCCGGGCCAGCAGAGGACCGGGGACCAGGGCTGCACCTCGAGGCTGGACCACGACACAGAGCAGGAGGATCCAGCCAGGACATCACAACAGGACCTGAAGACTGGACCGGAGAAGCATGATGGATCGGGACCTGGTGAGCTTCGACGGCCGTACATGCACGGCTTCAGTGGCGCGCAGCACGGCAGCCACGGGGCTGCAGGGCCTGCCGACCAACCGGCAACAGCCGCCAACCATCGCCGCCGAGTGTCTGCCATCTGGACGGCCGGGCCGCAGGACGCTCGGCGGCCCCGGCGCCACCCTCCTCCCCTGTACCGCCTCGCCCACAGGCGGAGGTCGACCCACCGACACGCGGAAGACTGCCGCACCGCGCGCCGCTGACACGCGCCTTGCGTGCGTCCCGACGGCAACTAATTACACTTTTGAGCACCGCGCGGCGCGACGATCGGGTTACGGGACGTTCCGCGCCGATCGCACGCGGCGCGTGCGGAACGGCCGCCGGCGTTTCACTTTCGCGACTCACGCCGGCGAGACACGCACGGCGGCGCGGGCGGCGGAGCGGCGCCGGCGGAGGGACGCCGGCGGAGCGGCGCCGGCGGAGGGGCGCCGTGGGCCAATGACGACTTAGGCAGATCGGGCGCCCGAGAAGGGATGAGCGTGAATATCCAGCCGAACAGGGACACGGCGCACGCTTCGCGATGCCCACCGGTACTGGAGGAGGTGGATATCGCGAAGCGTCGATGTTGCGAGAACGGCGCGTCTTTGTACGCGTCTGTCCCGTCGCAGGGCCTGACACAAGGCTTTGAGCGGACGTTGCATTAACGCCACATTCGCATGAAACATTTCTATGCATATGTTAAATGTTTAACATATATTTATATTTATATATATATATATATACATATTTAACATATGTTAAATAACTCCAGTCAAAACAGACAAACACCGGGCCCTCGAAAGCGCAGAATCCCGGCGTCAAAACCACCTGTCGCCGCACCCCAATCTCCACAGACGCCCCTCTTAGCCATCAGCGCATCAACGTGTGACATCATCGGTGTCGGCGAAGCTGGCCACCGGGCCATGCTCGCCCGCCCGCCGGTCGGGGCTGGCCACCGGGCCATGCCCGCCCGCCCGCCGGTCGGGGCTGGCCACCGGGCCATGCCCGCCCGCCCGCCGGTCGGGGCTGGCCACCGGGCCATGCCCGCCCGCCCGCCGGTCGGGGCTGGCCACCGGGCCATGCTCGCCCGCCAGCCGGTCGGGGCTGGCCACCGGGCCATGTTCGCCTGCCAGCCGGTCGGGGCTGGCCACCGGGCCATGCTCGCCGGCCCGCCGGTTAAAGCTGGCCACCAGGCCGTGCTCGCCGGCCCGTTAAAGCTGGCCACCGGGCCATGTCCGCCCGCCGACCCCCGCGCGCCGAGCGAGCGAACGGCCGCCACATCTGCGCCTTTACGAAGCTACGATCGCGCGGACGGTGGGCGCCCTGGCGGCTGTGGCTGGCAGGGACCGGCTGCGGTGGACTGGCAGGGACCGGCTGAGGTGGGCTGGCACGGACCGGCTGAGGTGGGCTGGCAGGGACCGGCTGAGGTGGGCTGTGGCGGACTGTGGCGATTCACTCGGACTCAGTGAATTGAACTCTTCACATATGCATTGGACCTGGACTCGACCTCATCGACAGTGTCCTCGGACTCAGACGAAAGCAAACATGAATCTAGACTTAGCTCAGAATAATACTACCTATAGGTCCCCCATGTAGACCTAAGCCTCATCGCATATATCATCCAACGAATTAGCCTTAGCCAAAGTACAAATGAGCCAGACTTAGGTAATGGCGATTTTCAGTAACAGTTAGATAAGCAGTACGTGAAATAACACCAATTGGGCGAGAGACGGCGTAGCTGTCATCATCCTGATTCGGCGCGTCACCAAGCGGAAGACGGTAACACCCTAACCCCGTCAATCGCAGCCGTCGCCGAGACAGAAGGCGGGCCCTAACCACGCGCAGCGCCGGTCGCAGCCGTCGCCGAGACAGCAGAGGGACCCTAACCCCGCGCAGCGCCGGTCGCAACCGTCACGGAGAATGAGTTGCACAAAGACGGAAGTTCACACACCAGTCTTCATTACCTCACAAAACAAGTAGATGTCCATTTCACTTCCGAGCAGTTGCCATGCACACCTGAACTATGCCACGAATGAAATCACATCAGTTTGTTTCGTCACACGGTGCCTGCGACTGAGTGGAGATATGGGGAAGGAAGGCTACAAGGCTTCCACACACAAGCCAGCGGGCAGATCCTAGACTTTCAACAGAATCGTGGCTTCGGGTAGCGCGACGGTTAGATTTCCGACGCCGCCAACCATGGCGACAAAGACAAGGAAACGCTGAAGCCGGCATTCAGACGTCAGCACTTCAATCAAACTTGGCAGCCGGCCTCACATGACGGGCAAAGTGACGACAGTCGCCAATCACAAATGTGGCGTCGGGACACTTTTGAACCGAAGCCGCCGATACCAGTGGGGCACGCATGCGAGCAGGGGACACACACAGAAAGGCAACATCCAAAACTGGCTGCGGCAAAATCACCGGGCACTATCGCGGAGACGGTCCATTTTCAGCGTGTCCACGTGACTCAAGCCCGGACAACAAGAAACGTTCAATACCAGCACGGTCTGAACCAGCATCGACCGCTGAGTCAGCTTCACCCGAGACATACCAGGAACGCTGCTGACGCCGCCAGCTTTGGCATCGGAACGACACCGGCCTGGCGTCTGTGCACAGGGCGCACTATAATGGAGGAAATACGGGGCAGATGTAGCATGTCTGCCAAGTGCAAGGGGGCCTGAAGATAACCGAACTATTTATCATGCACATGATTATTCGCAATAAAGCACATCACCAAGCTAAGTGGTGCAGTGTGCTTCAAAAAGAACTGTAACACGCAATGACATCCCGAAATCAGAGGCCTCTTAATTTTGGGGCTACCGTTGTCTTTACGTTTATGGAGAACCAATGGCAACAATAACTACACCCCATGTACAGCCTCGGCCCTCAAAATGGCTACGCCAATAATAAACATACCTGTCACGCACGCGCGCCACAATCAACAGGCTTGAATGGGCTTCTCGGGATCATCGGAGAACGATAGCGATTAGCTTATCTGCTCAATGACCCACACAGACGACATGGATGATTTACCAATGTCTCTCTGATATGAACCACGCGTCCAGTTCCGTTCACAGTACAGCACCACCTGACTGGGCTGGGGAGAGAGCAACTCGACGCCCACAGTCCCGATTCCTAGACAAGTCCGCAGACACGTCGAGTCGTATTGACAGTCACCGTAGAATACATGTCTTCGAGTATCCGACGCGGGCATACGCGTGCAAATGTTTAGGACGCCACGTCTTGTTCAGAAAAAAAAACGTGAAGGCCAGAACCAGGCCCTTCCAAACCCAGCATCCACTTTTAGCTAACGCAAACCAACACCCACTGGCAATAACACGTCTGGATAGCCATCCAGCGCCCTGCAGGTGCAGATACAAAGGCTGCAAGAAATGCGGGTTGCGGATAGGATGGTGTGCTCAGAACACTTGACCCGGAGCGCACCACCGTAGCTCACAAAACCAACGCGGCAATCGCGTGATGTAAGCGGCCGTCGATTCATGCCGTCTCCCTTCTGCCTATTAACCAACACGTGTCCCGGCATTAACGGGGATTTTTGTCGTTGTTTTGCTTGATTCAGATTATCTGTATCCACTAGGAGCGACGCACATGCCACGCACAGCTTGTTGCGTGTACCAAAAACCCACCACTCAAGTTGGACAGATAAAGCTCAGTCAGAGAACTTTGTCATGTCATTTTGCAAGCCGGACTTACGGAGGGCGTAACATGCCGCAAAATGCCGCGGCACGGCGACCCCGGTCCAGGTCGACCCGCTTCAATCGGGAGCCAGCTGAGATGTGTCATTTGTGCCAAAGAATGCGTCCGTCCTGGGGCTCGTAGCCAATGTCGTTAGACTACCGAGTCCCCCAGCTTTCCTCCTGATCAGGAACAGGTGACTCTTGAACCTACACAACTCACGCATGGCATGCAATATACGGAGAGCGGGGTGAGCCATGTGTTCCGGGCGCGTGATACAAAATCGGACTCGTGGTACATTATTGATCCATTTCGGACGCAATGCAGTTTTTCTCATGGGCTTTGGCAGTTGACAGATGACCTCTTGAGAGCTCTGTTTTGGGAGAGTGACTGCTGGAAGTCGCGTTCCACCTACAAGAGGACAATGTCGAAGCACATCGCTCGACCGTCGAGCAATTCAGTCTGTCTCGAGGGGAAGCAAAACCCGACCCAAAACACAGCCGGCAGCAGCTGACTGACAGTCGGCTGCAGCTGACTGACAGTGGGCAGCAGCTGACAGACAGCCGGTAGCAGCTGACAGACAGCCGGCAGCAGCTGACAGACAGCCGGTAGCAGCTGACAGAGAGGCGGCAGCAGCTGACTGACAGTCGGCAGCAGCTGACAGACAGCCGATAGCAGCTGACAGACAGCCGGCAGCAGCTGACGGCACGCAGCGCCTCCGAGCGGGGCTCCTGTACCGGGTACTCACGCGTCTGCGCGGTGGGCGAGGGCGTGTCGGCGCGCTGCAGGCCGGGTCCGGCCGGTCGCATGGCGCCCGTCAGCATCCGCGTCACCTCGCGCTGGATGTCGAACTGCTCGTCGGCCGGCTCGGGCGGTGGCCCGGCGCTGGCCGACACGTTGAACGCGTCCGGCGTCACCTGGCCCAGGCACGGGCTGTCGAAGTCGTAGCGCGACACGTCGGCGCCCAGACTGTCGTCGGGCGGCTGCGGCGGCGCCGGGCCGCCGCACACCGTGCGGTCGGTGCTGGTGACGGCGCCGGGCGCGGCGGCGCCGTCGGGCGCGTCGGCCGCGCGCCGCAGCCGCACCACCACCACCGATACGTTGTCAGAGGAGTTGAGCTCGACGGCCGCCAACACCAGCCGGCCGGCCAGACCGGCAAAGTCGTCTGCCGGAGGGAACGCCGCCGGATGGCATCAGCCTTCATGGGGCCACCATGTGCTCAGCGCGTGCACGTCCCTAGGTGGTGGGGACTGGTTTCGCGCTATGTGGAGGTTCACAATACACGCAACACAACCAGAACACCGAACGTCGTGTTGTGTATGACGATAAAGCGGCATTCAAAATGAGCCACACGTACCCATAAACGTTCCCTTACCTGGGTGCTCCTCCATGTCTTTACAGACCATGCGGACACACTCATCGCTGCTGACCACGTCGAAGAAGCCGTCGCAGGCCAGCAGGACGAAATCCTCGGTGCCGTCCAGCTGCACGGTAGTCACGTCCGGACGGTCGCTCACATGGGGCCGGAACTCGGCGTCACCTGTCCGACGGCGCCTCGTCACTAGCTGCTCATAACCCAAACCGGCGCCGTATGGCGACGGATCGAGTCGTCGGCATGAATGCCGAACCCCGGCGGCGAGGAGCAACAAGTCAGGCAGAACAGCGCAGTAAATTTAGTTCCTGTCGCTGGGCAATGTTTCATTAGCTGCACATAACTCGCCAGGAGCGCTCCACGCCACAGCCAGAGTTCTCTCAGCTGGTTATGATCTGTCTGAACGTCACGTGCCGTGGCCGCGTCCATCAGGGGACGGGGGGCGGTGAGGGGGGGGGGGGGGGGCAACATTCGTGCGGCGATTGTACTTTGGTCAATAGCAATTCAGGTGGAGTGCCCACAACGCCGGGTTTAACAATGGATGCGCATTCGCAAGATTAACGAGCATAGCAGCTCGGCCACTGAACGACAGCCACACCCAACGTCTGCTCCACCCGAAAATGACGCGCAGAACGCGCCTGGTGTTCACCAACAGACGGCAGGAAGGCTGGGCTGCAGACGCCTGGTGGCCGTGCGCACCTGTGACAACGGCCCCGCCTGTTGCACCAGGTGGCAAACCGTCGGGCCCGGGCGTGCCCACGCGGCTTGGGATATCCTTTGGCAACGCCTCTCGTCGCAAAAACGGGTGGTGACGCAAGGCGGCTGTCACCGGGATGACCCTACGGGAGCCCTGAGCGGCGCATTCGGTCAAATGTGTACGCCGTAATGCACTCCGGACGGCAAGGTAGTCGACGATAAATTTTGAAGCAAAACGAGCTTTTCAAACGTGGAGGTTGGACCAAAATCAGCTTAACTGTGCGGTTGCGGCGACTGCGTTCAAGTGTATTTTGGTTTGAAGGTTAAATACAAAGTGAGCAGTTTAAATTGGCAACATCGTTACTTGTGCAAACAGGTACCACGAAACATTGATAATGACTAATACAGAGCGTGAGCAGACGGAGAGCTCGGCTCGGATCTCCGCAATCTCTCAGCACTTCGCTGGTTCGCAGATCTGACGTCAGCAGGGCGATCCCAAACAGTGGCCTCAAAAACCTCAGGTTAAATAGTTCGTGATGATCAGCTTCGGAGCCGTTTGAACGATACCAAACATTGGGCACGGCAGCCCAAGTGATCCGATAGCTTGACACGGACCAGCAGTGCGCGAGAACGACCGCAATTGACAGCGTGGCTGGGCAAGCAGAGCATCACATGTCCCCCGCTGCGACCGTTCAACGGGCTGTCCACCGGTTGAGCTATCATGCTGGCTCGTAAAGCACTTCAGCATGTCAGGAGCGAACAAAATGCGTACTATATACACGAGCATGACTGGACACACGATGGGCTTTCCAACGTGCAACTGCAAGTGTGCTAGGCGTACTGATCCACCGTGCCTGTCCGGGAACGCAAAGGCGGTGACCTCAGACCGGCCCAGTTCGCGTCTCGGCGTTTCCCGGCGGCCGCCCCGCCTCACTCACCGATGGCACGCGACACGGAGAGCACGCCGTTGACGCGGTACGTGCCGTACAGGCACACGACGCCGCCCTGCTCTTCTATCCGCGCCCGCTCGTCCTGCAACGGAGCGCGCCGCCGCTCAGAGCCGGCCGACAGCGCTCGGTAGCGGCACGGCGCGGCGCCAGACACGCCCAACTGCCGAGAGGTCCGGCGCAACCCCTGTCCCCCCACGGTCCCTGCATGTCCTCAGACCTGCTCCTCTTCCACATTTCCTCTTCAGAGCTGCGTCACCTTACCAACCCCTGTCCTCCCACAGTCCCTGCATGCCCTCAGACCTGCTCCTCTTCCACATTCCCTCTTCAGATCTGCGTCACCTCACCAACCCCCCCCCCCCCACGACCTCTCCCTGCCTTCAGACCTGTCCCCACAACACTCGCCCCTCTCTCACAACCCCGCTCTCCTCAGACCACCTCCAGCACACTCGACCGCCGGCCGGCCAGCCCGGCCCGCCCGCCTCCCTCACCGGTCGCTCCGGCTTGTGCGGGTTGACGACACGGACCGAGGCGCCGTTCCGACTGAGCACCGCCTGACAGTCGCCAATCCAGCCCAGGTACAGGTGAGAGCTAGAGATGAGCGCCACGATCGCCGCCGCACCCGCGTTACTACCCTGCAATGGTCGTGGCGGCGCGCTCAGGCGAACGCACAGGTGCCGGTCATCCCAAACCGCGCCACGCGGTTCGCGGTGACCGCAGTGAGTGCCGGCGCCAGCGCGGTGCGACAGATACGGGTGTCACGCCGCGCCGACAGCGCGGCAGATTATACCGAGATAGCACAGAGCTGTGTTGCATGACCTGACTAAGGCTTAAAACTGTAAGCTGTAGGACCCGTGACAGGTAGCGGTAATAACAGCACCAGACGCCAGGGACTGGTTAGCGTTCGGGGGCACAGTATCCCTCTTCGGATGTGGCATCGACAATCACAGCCTGCACGTTCCCAATGTTGACGCACATTTCACGGTACGCCTGTGGTGCGGACGATGCACACAAGGACCCAGACAGATAGCGACCGCATGGCCTCAACAAATTGAACACTTTCCGCCCTCAGGGGCGGGGGGGGGGGGTGGAGGGGGAGGGGGGGGGCGCCCCAGCGCCGTACCGTCTTGACGAACTGCTGGTCGGTGGCGGCGAAGGCGTCGAAGAGCGCGAGGTGCGGCTTGTCCGGGAACTGGGCCGACTCGGCCAGCAGGCGTGGCATGTGTTCCACGCAAAAGGAGGCGGCCTCCGAGCCGATGTGGCCGTCGAACACGCCATAGAAGCCGAACCGGTCGGCGAACTGCGACCGAGGGCGCGCGAGAGGTCAGAAGCGGCGGGGACGGGCGTCCGGTCCCGGATAGGCGCGGGTGACACCGTCTGACAGTGCCGGCCCCGGAGAGGCCCGGGTGACACCGTCTGACAGCGCCGGCCCCGGAGAGGCCCGGGTGACACCGTCTGACAGCGCCGGCCCCGGAGAGGCCCGGGTGACACCGTCTGACAGCGCCGGCCCCGGAGAGGCCCGGGTGACACCGTCTGACAACGCCGGTCCCGGAGAGGCGCGGGTGACACCGTCCTGAACAGCGCCGGCCCCGGAGAGGCCCGGGTGACACCGTCTGACAGCGCCCCGCCAGGAAAAACGCAGGGTGCACCGTCCTGACAGCGCCGGCCCCGGAGAGGCCCGGGTGACACCGTCTGACAACGCCCGGCCCCGGAGAGGCGCACGGTGACACCGTCAGACTGCACCAGGAAGCTGTATACTGTATACTGGACTTACCTGCTCACACACAAATATGCAAACACAGGATGTACACAGTTAACCAAGGGTAATAGTATTAATCCTGATTCTGTCAGATCCTGTCAGAATCTGATACTGAAAATCATGTGAAGCCCAAGACCTGCATCGTCATAAAGCTCACCTGACGATTGGTGACGGTGCTGAGGTCGTGCACCATAACCGAACGGTCCTCCATCTTGCGGCGGCGATTCTTCACTGCCTTGTTGCTCACTGCTAGCACTGGTGCTGCCATAGCTGAAATATGACAGGTATATTTGAGCATGGGCAACCACCCAGTTAGTAAGGTTACAACTATACAGCGATGCATGAAGCACTTGTTGCATAAATACTATTGTTGTTGGGTATGCAGAACCTTTAGGAAGTAACCCTACTTAGAAACCAAATGACATAATTGGAACTTAGCTGATACCAGAAATGATTTGAATGCCCCTAGAATCAAGCAAAGAGGAATGAGGCAAGTAATGGGCTGTGGAAGGAAACCACTACTTTTTGTTCAAAGGGCCAAAAATTTCTGGCAAATAGCTGATGTGTAGCACATGTCTACCATACTAAGATATTTATTTTTTTGGACCAAGTGTTACTTACAGTTAACAGTATATCCTGCCCAATTCCAATATTAGCAAGAACAAAAACACCATACTGAGTACTTGGCAGCTGATCATTCAGGCTTAAACCAAATTGCCCTACCATAAACATTCACTGACTTCACTTTTCCTAGGCTGGACACATGACTGGAACCCAAGAGATAGCATTCAAAGCCATCAAACATCATATGCCTGAAGCATGAATTCTTTTTTGTCTTCTGCCATGATGCTAGGGGCTAAAATAGAGCCAAAATGAATGTCATCCTCTCACCGATATGCCTGGAGTAAGGCCCAAATATGACAGAATTGAAAGAGTGTGGAAAACTTGCTAGGGAAAAGAAAAATCACACAACAACCATGAGAGCAGATACAACTATTCACATAGTTAACCAAGTGACAGCATATTGCAGAACCCTTATAGCACTCAATCCTGCAATTTTATAATTTCTTCTGATGCAAAGCCAGAACCTGTGATCTGCTTGTTACCCCAAATGTTGTTTTTTCATTTTAATTCAGACCTACCAAAGGCAATCTAACTGCATAGTTAAGTACACCAAATGGTAACTGCAGTTCATCCCCCCAAGGCTGGTCTGCAAACCATGGCTGTTTTTTAGTGGCTGGGTGAATATCTTTGAACAAGTAGTTGCATTGGCCCATTATTAAACAGGGAGCAGAGGCAAGTGCATACAGTGGCTAAATCAACATAAATACAGACAGAAAAAAAATGTGACACATAACAGACAGCTTCTGAAAATGTAGCCTATGACTCAACACATATAAAATGTGATGTCAACATAACCTGTGGTATGGAATCAAAGCATACCAGCAGTGATCAAAATGTGTTTTACGTTAGGGCAGAACAGGACCACACAGCTTTGAAACACTGTGATACCATGCGGACTGGGCTATGGCCAGACTGAAAAATATACATTATGATGAGCATGTCCTGTCTGGCAAAGATGCAATATTCCTGCACAAATACCATACATCTGGTTGCTCAGAGTTTGATGCAGCTGCCACCAACATCAGGACATAAACAACCAATGCTTCAGGAACTTACATATGCTGTGTGATGTAATTTCAACTACAGAACATTTCACACAAAAATAACTGCAAAACTTAGCACAATTTGGTTTGGCCTTCAACTGACACATATGAGCATGAGGTTCAATGCACCAAAGCTGTGTAAATATCCAGTGAAGCAGGTGCGATTTTTGTATTTGGGCCTGGGTTAAGTCATTGAACATTTAATGGACTGATCTGGTGTGGCACACTCCCATACTGTGATGAGCTGAGCGGGATCGTAGAAGTGACAACACATTTACCTGGTGGTTCCATTTTAGCTTGGATGGTAGAGGCGATGCTGCCGACTTGTTAGTATAACTGATGTAAAAGCTTTACAAAAGTTTGACAGGTACAAAAATAGACATGTACAGCAGTCAGGCAAGTGGAAATCTTATCAAAATTGTTACTGTCCGACGCGAGACAATGCACTGTTATCGCTGTCAGACACACTCTTCAATTTTTGACGAAAGCACCCAGAATAGCGGATAAAAGTATCACGCAATATGTATATCGCAATATGTATATCGCACCGTCGTCTCCCTCCGAGCTGACGTCACTGTAAAGTATATGATGCCGCCGACGCTTTCGTCGCAGGTGTACAACATGCGTCGCTTGGCGCCGCCCCTCCTTTATTTTGATCCCTGATGAACGTGACAGCCAATTTCCAGATCATCTGTCCCGTCAAGTCCCGCTCCCCCACGCAAGACCCGTGCTTGATTCCGTTCAAGTAAAACGAATCTCGATGCCAACCCAAGGCAGGTTGGTTTGATCCTGACTGGCCGCGGACACACCACACAGCTTGCATCAGTTCTGTCCCTGAACCAGGGAGATTTGTCGTATTTCCGAAATCCATTCCAATCGAGCCGGCGTTCTTGTCAAGAGCTTAGGATGCATACAACTCCAGGGGCTACAGAAACACCGCCTAGCGCACGTTTCGTGTTGAAAGACAGCAAAACAACTGCTTGTTTCATCTGTTGTTCACACAGGAGCGGCATCAGACTCGCTGTCATCATGCTTCAATCACTCATATTAGCTGTTCTACATTGGTTAGCTTTACAAGTCGCATGGCTAAATTTTTACATTCAACCGAGAACTCACACATGGCTGCCGTCGACACGGCCGATTTAAGTCCAACGCGACCTCACACCCCATTTAGCGATCGTTTCCACTTGCGCCGGAAATTTGGCTGATGGCGAGGTCAACTCAGATTTGGCGTGGTGCCGAGCACAGGGCGCCTTTAGCTCACCGAGCACTCTTATCGCACTGGCATTTAACACAAAAGGGGCCAATAATTGTGCGTCCCGTTGCAAAAAAAGTATCACCCGCAAGTCTCGCAAGTGTAAAGGATCCATGCTGATCGTGGACGGAGTGTGCCGTGGTGCGCGTCAGCTTGCTGTTGCATAACCATACTCCTAGCACCTCGCCACTGTTAGTGAAACATACTCCTGGCACTTTGCCGCTGACAGTAAAACATACTCCTAGCACCTCGCCACTGTTAGTAAAACATACTCCCGGCACTCCACCGCTGACAGTAAAATATACTCCTGGCACTTCACCACCGACAGTACAAAATACTCCCGGCACTTCGCCGCTGACAGTAAAACATACTCCTGGCACTTCACCACCGACAGTACAAAATACTCCCGGCACTTCGCCGCTGACAGCAAAACATACTCCTGGCACTTCGCCGCTGACAGTAAAATATACTCCTGGCACTTCGCCGCTGAGAGTAAAACGTACTTCTGACACTTCGCCGCTGACAGTAAAACATACTCTGGCACTTCGCCGCTGACAGTAAAAAACACTCCTGGCACTTCGCCGCTGACAGTAAAACATACTCCTGGCACTTCGCCGCTGACAGTAAAATATACTCCTGGCACTTCGCCGCTGAGAGTAAAACGTACTTCTGACACTTCGCCGCTGACAGTAAAACATACTCCTGGCACTTCGCCGCTGACAGTAAAAAACACTCCTGGCACTTCGCCGCTGACAGTAAAACATACTCCCGGCACTTCGCCGCTGACAGTAAAACATACTCCTGGCACCTCGCCGCTGACAGTAAAATGCCTCTAAAGTAGTGTTGTTGCGTACTTGAAACTACAAAGCTGGTTGTCAGGTTTGCCTGGTCGTCTCTTTATATTTGCCGCGCCACCTCGTCTCAGCATTCTCCGTCAGTTTCCGGTCGGAAATTGGCCTCTCATAGGTTAATGTCAGAACCTACCAAAAAAAAAACATCACGCATTTTCCCGCCCCACGCGATGCGAGATAACACATCGCCTCAGAGGCACGCTCGCACCGGCCAAATGTGAACAACGCCCCCGAAGGGGCTATACTGGGTGACGGGAATAAACGAACACTTCATTAAAGGTCTGAGGGAACGGCAGGTTTCTTCCGCTCTGTCACAGGGTAAAAGCAAAAAATCTGTCGAGTTGGGGGGGGGGGGGGGCAGACGCAACCCATGCTTGTATCAGGCTCCCGTATATTTGGGTACAAGTAAACACCTGTCTGATTCGCATCCAAGGTGAATGCATAGTAGGATATATTACAACCTATCTAAATAATGTATCAATCATTATAGCATTGCATCTAGTTGCATTGCGTAACATACACCAATCCTGTTTCATTGTGCTACAGTTACAGCACATCGAACATACGGATACGGCAACGAACATATGAAAACACGCCATGAACTTTGTATGTGGAATTAACACGTGACTAGAAGACAAAGGGCACTTTCTTCAACATAGGCGAAATCATAACACCACTGGTGAAAGATGCAATGTTGAAGACAAATGAAAACAGCCAATGGTTTGCTTCAAGCTTCCCATGCCATGCTTACAGATGCCCCGGCTGCAACACATCGAAATGAACAACTGGGTCAAATCCGACGAAAAGTTCAGGACGCGTTCCACCAAGGGCACATTGTGACCATTCAACTGCCCGTCAATGACTATCCGATAACCTTTCCACAGCCTTCCGACCTTCAGGTGTTCTTGGACTCAGGATGCTGGTAGCTGATACCGACATCATTTCACATCGGCGTATGGCATTTCGTTCAGAATAAGCACTGTACCGATGACAAGTGCGCCGTCGGCATACTCTCAGAACGCGTTGATCACAGACCTGACGGGGAAGCACAGCTCAGATGAACCACTGCGCTCCAAAACGCTCCCCGTGCGCCATTGTAGTCGGTCCTGAAGTCAGCTGTTGTAGCCTTCAGCGCGTCCGTGAGGGAGCCCGTGATCGCAGGTCAACGAGGGCGTCCTCTCAGCCTGCGCACGCAAGCAGCCGCCGCCCGGCCACAACCAGTGACGGATGGGCAAGCCTTGCGCGCTTCTGCCACCTGGTGGCCGGGCATCCAACCGACAGTTGGAAGCAATCTCACGCGGGGTCGCTTGAGAGACGGAGCCCGGAGTGAGGTGGGGGATGAAGTAAACCGAATATCATACAGACTTCTGCAGCTTCTTCTGGCTTAACTGGTACAGGCAGTCGTCGATGAGGAAACTGGAATCAACAAAGGCGTGCTATCGAGGTCTGCAGATGTCGCTGCACGATACAATCAACGTCATTACTGGGCGCCATGTTCCACATATGCACGACGAGCCCATTTATCAGGTAACACGCAGCAGAATATCTAAGCGCATTGATAGCTAGCCGCAATATGCTGGTTGTTACTGACTACCCAGTGGTACGGGCGGCTCCTCCACGCATTGTTGTCGTACATCCCGGTACGTACTCGGGACCGGGACGTACGCCATGAACCAATAGCGTCGGATAATACCAAAGAGGTAAGAGTTATCCCCTTCTTGAAGCATGGCGCCGGGACTGGCGAACGGCAAATCCAGGCCCAGGATAGCACCGCACATTCGCGCGATCAACAGTCCCATGCCTATCACATACCTCATAGTCTGCCACGTCACACAAGTTGACGGGCCACAGAGAGCAGAGGCAAACCTTTGGGAGGGCGGTAACAGTTTTTGACCGGTTGTCACCACGCAGCGCAAGGCCCCGTCGTTTGCCCTCATGTCGCCGTCACTGCTCACCTGTACCAAAGCAGCGGCAGGGGACAGGTGCTGAGGTGCCAGAGCGCATGCGCGTCCAGCGTCCAGGCGAGCGGCGGGAAGTCGGCCGTCTCCAGCAGCACGGACACCGACACCAAGACCACCGTGGCAGCGCACTTCCAGACGTGGGCGGCACGCTCGCGCTGCTGGTGGCACCACGCCAGCCAGGCGGTCACGTTTACAGCGCCTGGGGGCAGACTGCAGGTCAGGACAGCCGGCCGGTCACGCTCCCCACGCCGAGGGAAATGTCAGAAATATGGTCGGACAGACAGTCATGCGCTCAGCGCCCTGGAGAGCATGCAGTGGTGGGGAGAGTCGACGTCGGCTCAGCGGTCGTACTAAACAGGCGCCTGCGGAGAGGTGAAATGTCAGGCCAGTCTGGAGGTCACGCGGGCAGCGCCTGGAGGTCACGGGGACAGCGCCCGGAAGTCACGCCGACATTCGCCTGGAGGTCCGTGGACAGTGCCTGGAGGTGGTTAGAGGTCAAGTCAACCAGACAATCCACCGACGGGACAGAGCGTTTGATCCTCGCCGCCTGACGGCACACGGGTGCGACGAGCCTGCATAGGCTGCCCACAACACCGGCCAACGCTCATATCGTCTCGCAGCAGCCACGATCAGCTGCAGTCCAGCTAACGAATCACACGCCAGTGGAGGATGGCGCGAACACGGAGGATGGCGCGAAGTCACGCGCGACCAAGGCCCAGCGGGCAATACGTCAGAATTGAACGCCATCAATTGAATGTACATGACAAGAAAGGTCACCCAACGGAGCGGAGCGCTACAAAATCCTTGCAACTCACCGACGAGGATGTTGGCCCTCATGTTGTAGCCGTAGTCAAACATGACCAGCGACAGATAGAAGATGTGGTAGATCATGAAGCCCAGACAGAGCAGCGTAATCGTCACTGTGGGCCACGACAGCTGCGGCCCGAAAAACCTGCAATGTTAGCTCGGCCTGATCAGCACCAGTCAAAACCAGCCAAGCTGGTGCAGTAGTCATTTAGCACTGCCGTTCACTCGGTGTAAGCAAACGTAAATGTATATTAGGCACATTTCGCAAGGAAAGTCAAACGTCACGTATGCTTAAATTGGTGCAACGCTGCGTCCGCTGCTGCGGTGAGGAGCGGGAGAGTCGGTTCTCCTCACACACTCACTGGCTCGATCGCGTGACAGAGCGGCATTCTCATCGGCAACATCTTTCGGAGAGTGCACTCTGCCTCCATGCATCTAGAGTGGTTTGACCGGTTTAGCTAAAAGTCCTCATACAACAACCTGCAAAAGAGGACCGAATAAGGCCTGTTTCAAAAATGGGCTGACTCAACTAAAAAGATGGGCCTCGCTGCAACTTCACCAATCGGATGTGTCACCAACTGGGTGAATCTTCTCGAATGAACTGGGACAAAGTTTTTTCTTGGCACATGGATTCTTGGCACATGGATTAGATTCCAGGTCTGTCGCACCGCACCAATGTCGATATTTCCAGGTCTGTCGCACCGCACCAATGTCGATATTCGTGAGGCGATAGCAGTTTTATTCAATGGGCCTAGAAAACCGTATCGATACTAGCACCACCTGTTTTACGCAGTGCCGTCATCATCCAGCAAGCCGCAATCTTACCACTTTCCACACTACGGGTACCTGGTGGATTAAGTATGAAAGACATCTCGACAAGCATCAGGAAGAAGTGGCCAAACAGCTATCATCTTCATTCTTTATCAAAAACCATCATTTTTTGATAAAAAACCTTTGCAATTATAGAATGCTCCAGCACACGGGTAAGTTCAAGGTTGTGTTTGCTTACGTATCATTGTGATGTTGATTTGCAATTAATATGCTTGTTGTGTGGGCGACAAGGGCTTATGAGCAAGGTTTCCCCGGGACCGAAACTTTCCGCTCGAACAATGCCTTGGATAAGTATGCCGAAGGCTATGCAGTCACGCACAAAATATTTTGTGGTAGGCCAACCGGCTCCTCTGTCCCATCACCAACTGCCGACAACGGGGAAGCCTTGAGTTACATCAGGTGGCTGAGCGAATCGAAGAAGAAAATCACTAATGTTATCTTCAAGACCGACCGGTAGAAACCAGGGAACTGTGGACCAGCCAAAGCATACCTGTTCGTGATCTGAAATACATGCCAAAAGTGATCAAGCGGGCATACAGACGCATCAGAGAAGGATGCGGAAAAGAAAGAGAGGGACACAACGGCACTATCACAAAAATGAACAGTTTCTCGACGTCGCAAAACGCAAGTGTAAATGCGAGTCCCGGTGCAGCTCCAAATGCCTTACTGCCACAGAGTGCGGCAAGAGGAGGCTGCCTTCTTGCAAGACAAGCGCAGGCATCACAAGTTTACCCTGGGGGCATATGACTGGGTTACGACTGTGACTAGGGAGGCTGACGGCTGCGGAGGATGGCCAGACAGCTCCAGGAGCGTCGTGGATTGGCCGTCAGTGAGGCGGTGTCCGCCTCTGAACATGAGTCGCCTCCCCTGGCTGGCTGCTGACCCAGCGCCGGCTGCTAGTGCGGAGCTGGAGCCCGCTCTGGGACCACGTGGTCTCAGCGCTGGTGAATCGGCTGAGAACACGGATTCTGACACGGCTCCGTACATGGTGGAAGGTGACGACGACACCGATCGTGCGGTTAGGGTAAGGCCGCTGTCACTGCAGATCATAACTTTAACGATCTGGCCAACAACATGTTGGCCGTTGACAGCTACGGTGGGTCGAGCCGAGCCGCTGCTGCTATCATCAACGCCTTCCAAGAAGACGGCAGAGACGGACTGACTGCTTGAAATCGAATACCGCAGATCCTATAAAACCATCTGGGGTGCAATAGGCAGAGTGAGAAAAGAGATAGCTGGTGAAAACACCGAATCAACCTATGAGTCATGTTTGACCATTTTCTACTTCGACGGCCGCAAGACAGAACCTACATGAGCGACACACAGCCATACGAATGCCGTCTAAAAACATGTGGTTGTCGTTGCTGAGCCAGGTAGCCGCTATGTGACTCACTTCACGTCCGAGTCCGGCTTCGCCCTGCGCTTGCTCAGCGAGCTACACTCCGCGAGCCTGCAGTGCAAAGGTCGCGTCAAAGTGCTAGGCTGCGACGGCACGGCCGTCAACACCGGGACGACAGGCGCCGCGAACCTTCGCCACCTGCTGCTGAGGCTAGACGGCACGACCACGGGAACAAATATTTTTCCGGACCCATCGGCAAGACCTGCGCCGGAGAGGTCTGGGAGAAGGACGTTGTGGCATTCGAGCCTACGCCGGGGCACGTGCCGAACCTGCCGGTCGACCCGATCCAGCAGCTGAGCACCGACGAGCAGCTGCTGTACCTGCTGGCCTCCAGCGTTCAAAACGGCCCTGTCTGAATGGCGGCAGCCCGGCGGCGAGCCGGACCCTCGAACCATACCAGGTGAATATGAAAACGCATTATCTTCTAATTCATAGCAATGAATGTTCAAACTCTATCACGGGTCATTTGGTATTTCATGTGCTCATTGTTAAGCCTTAACTAATTACCATGCATTGTGCCAAAGTATGTCGCATCATGTGCTCATTGCTTACTGGTATACTTGCTGATATGTATTCCGTTACGTTTAGAGACTCCGAATAACGGCATAATTAGATACACCAAAGAGGTACAGTAATTTTCGTAAGATCTAATTCGTAACGATAATCCGTAGCCAAATGTTCTAATCTGCCCTTTTGTTTTTGGATGGTTGACACTGGCCGCTCGCCCGCTCTTAGCTTACGTCTTTACCGAAACCTACAGCACCCCTCTTAAGGACCTCGTCCAGACGTGGTTGGCTTCTATGTGCCAGCGTGGTTCGCCATCCAGCAGTACAGCACCTGCAGCCTTAGCTCAGGCAACTTGTTCCTGAATACCGCGTTACTCCGCAAGATGCCGCAGCACACAACGACCACGGTACAGTCATCCATCGCAATGGATACTAGGACCGCCCGGAACAGCTGCTGCTGGCCATGGTGGCGGACGAGGGCCACGTGATCCGCGAGCAGGCGGTTCAGATCATCGCACCGCGCGTGAGCAGCAGACCGAGGGTCCTCTTCAGCCCAGGGTCTTTGCCACCCCAGCGATAAACTTCGAGGTTGTGAGGTAAACAGAACCAGTCTTCTGGCGCGCACCAGTCGCACAGCCTCCATGGCGAGACCTCAGCGACGACGACCTGCGAGGCACAGTGCGGGCTCCGCTGGCATCCCGCCCTTTCCGGTTCACACCCAGGAGAGGGCCTAGCGTACCGTCGCTGGGAGGTGTTCGGCGGGGATGGGGGAGGAGACGCGGCATGGCCTCACCACGACCAGGCTCCGGCAGCGCCAGATTCTCCCTAGTTTCAACTCTGAGAAAGATCCGCTCTGAAGGTAAGCTGGTAATCGTTAACTAATGACATCCTCAAAAGTGTCGGACCCCCGTTCTGACTTCAATCTAGTGTACAATCGCTTGAATATCTATCTAGTTTTATGTCGCGATTGGTCAACATACAAGGTAAACATACAACATACAAAGTAAACAGTCACCGCCGTCACCGCCGCCGCCCAATTCCGTACGCCGATGTCCAGATGCAGGACAGTCCTTTGAAAGAGGGGAAACCGGAGAGCGCGCCGCTTAGCGAGAACTCGGAGGTCCCACAGTCCGCATGTTCTGCGTCCCTGCCCTCTGGTTCAGCAGCAGAGCGGCAGGAAGGCTGGAGACGTAAAGCTCACAGGATGGGGACGGCAGCGGCGCGCATCAGCCGGCCCGGCAGCGGCTGGTGCGGCAGTGCCCGGGCACGCGCCGCACAGCAGAGTGAGACCAGCGCCGCACTGCCGAGAACGTCTGAGGCTGGGGCTGGAACTTCGGCAGTCGAACAGCCCAGCTGTGACGGCACTCCTGCTACTGTGCAATCTCCGGTAGCGCGTGTTTCAAGGCTCCGGTCTCTGAGCAGCTGCTGTTTGGGCCGGTGCATCGAATACGCATGCTAGGCCAGGAGTGAGATGTCCGCGGGGTCACCCTACCCCTCCCCCTGATGCAGGCTGCAGAGCTTGTTATGTGTGGCAATGGGGCTTTACGACGCATTCAGCTGCTGAGGCTATATGGCGTCGCCTGCCTCTCACCCTGGCAGGAAGGACGGGCATCGCGGGGAATCGAACCCCGCAACTTTGGTTTCTCAGACGCGCAGCGGGTAACACAGGCGAATTAATTGGTATACTATCGGCACCCTTGCAGACCTCGCTATATGCATCCAGTTGCACATCAGGCAATATATTCTAAGCCATATGTATGTACGTATGGTCTTGTTTGCAGCACGTGAGTCGTCTCAGAGAAGTGAAATCCAAAAAGCAGTACGAACCAACGTTCTCGCACGAGTTCATACTAAGTTTCTGTCATATAGCGATCGAAGGGCGATTGATCCACATAATGGACGTTAGACAGGAACGTTTTCGTGTGACACATTAAGATGCACTCCGTAACATGGTTTCCATAGGCGAAGTTACTTTGTATCGCTGCCGCCCACGGCTTGGTGTTACCCGCGACGGCTGCCGCCGCCCGGCGTCCGCCGACTGTCGCGCCGGGCGTCCGTTTACGGCCATATTTGGATTGGCTCGTGCATCACGAATTACGCCTTTGGGAAAAACTTTTGGGCTCCAGCGCCGAGGAATTTCTTCATCTCACTTGGTTTTGTTACTGATGACACACACCAATCGTCACTCGCCGAGGCCACGTTTGACATCTGCGGAAGGGGAACGTAGACGAGACCGAGCTCCCGATGTGCATCTGCACTAACCTTATGCATGCCGAGTAGAATGAGAAGAGGACCATGGAGAACGCACAGAAGTAGTCGAGCTTCTCAGTGAGGTCGGTATCCTTGGCGTGGAACACCGTGGACCACAGCCAAGCGTTGATGCAAACCTGGATGAAAAGGCGAGGGCAGTCTTTGGGTCACATGACTGCATCACGCGGCATCGGTGAAAATAACATACGTGGGACATGACCGCTCGGCAGAACAGGAAAGAACCGTTTATGCTCAACACTACGAGAGGGGATGGATAATGGAATTACTCATCAGAAAGGACCAGCAAAATCACAGACGTGCGGTATCAATTCAACACCAAACACGCATATGTCCTGATTCAAAACCATGGAGTACAAAGCGCCACAACCGACATTAACATAACACTCCGGCATGAGGATACAGTTAGGTTGCAATGCGGTGGGAAGGAACGGTTTTCATTTAGTGCAACGCAGGAAGGCTTGCATGGACTTGCAACATCAAGTGTAAACATAGACATTTACCCAAAACCCCCTGAAGACTGTTACTGATTCAACACGGAGAAAGACCACGGATCGCAATCAGTCAAACGGTAAACGAAAATAGTCGCAACGTCTATACGGAGAACGTTCCCATGAACTGCAGGACAAGTTTTGTAAACTGACACCTGGGCGAAAAACCGTGAGACTGGCCGATTCCAGGCGCATCGCTAATCATGAACATCGCCCCACGGCCAACGGCTGCCGCGAGGAATCGGCATTTGGCGGAATGACGGGCGCTGGACATCATGCCACAATGTCGCCTGGGGCTAACCCAGACCTTCTGTGAGCAAAATACCCCATGCCCCGCCCAGCCTCTCGCCACCGGCCATGACGTGCGTGAAGACACGTGTGCCTCGCACCACTACGGATCGTGTCGGCACAATGAGCTCAAATGATGGCACAAAACTGGCCGCGTGTACCGGTTGCAGGCACACGTGCCTGGACCAGTGAGCCGCCGTCGCGGGCCTGTGTCTGGTGACTCACTGGTTGCACGCACAGGACAGTGGGGCCATCCTGGCCGCTTCAATGCCGCAGCGCTGGAGCCACTTCTCGTTCACGTCGGGTGGCGTCTCAGCAGGGGTTCACTCAAATGGCCGCAGCTGGATCGACTTTGTAGGTTCAAATGTCATCGATACCGAGTGTTAGGATGAGATAAAGCGTCGTTTTCTCGAGCGCATAACTTCAAAACCACTCGTCAGATACAGCTTGTCGTAGATTCAGCCTCTCCGCGCCGGCATTTCAAACAATGGGCTCATCTTTCGAAGTGCTGAAAGCTGGCTATCGTGTCTGGATTCGCTTGGACACGATTAGTCGTGCAGTATATTTTTCAGCCACATCGCGGAACTTCATAATTCTTGGAAGGCTTCAGATGTCACTTGCCATTCGAGAGTCTTCACTTGCTCTTCACTCAGCTGACAAAATAGTCCGCCGCCAATGTCATATGAAGCGGACTGCGTCAGCAAACAACACCCGACGACTCCAAACCTACTTACCAGGCTGCATACAATATCGGGACGTTTCTGTAGCCCAATTCGAGAAGAAGGGTCTCCCCAGCCGGGTATATGAGCGTTGCGTGCCTATGCCCATGCCTATACTAATGTCTCCTCCCCTCCCTTTATGTATAAATAATGCCGGCCGCGATGCCCTGGCAAACGCTCACACCAATCAAACGGACGCTGACCTGGGTAACCACCCAGACACCCCGTACAGGGCCGCGAAACCTACACGTGCCCGCACCCCGTGGTGTAACCGCAGGAGGATCACGCCAGAACATCGCTCATCACCCCCTCCCCCCTCGCATCGTACCCACCGGCCGCCGCGCACGGGGATCGACAGGGCAGAAGCGTACAGGCGCGCAGCCGGTCCGTCCGAGCCCCGGCCGGCCGGCCGTCACGGGACGGACTGCGCCGTGCTCGTGCCCAGCCGGCCGCTGGCGTCGACGGCCTGCGCTCGCCAGCCACGGCTGTCTGGCGCTGGCCAGACGGTTGGCGGGGCGCCACACCGCTCTCCGGTCTCCACAGGTCTTTGGAAAACCACCAATAATATCTTTGAGACCTGCCGCTCTATATTATTGAGTTATTTCACTGTTATAGTGAGATCTATCTGATGAAGGTCCATATCCAGATCAACGGGCCATGGGTTTAAGACCATCCCTATGATAGCGCCGACAAATGCAGGTTTTCTCACATTTCGTTGCTGTTTTTTTTTTTTTTGGCGGAGGGGTATTTTGCGACGGATTTGGCAACAGAGCTGATGTTAAGCACAGCTTGCTGCAGTGACCGCGATTACACCTTTCCAGGAAAACGATTCTAGTTAAAGGGCCATTTCGTGCTGGAAGATTCTCAAAAACCATAATGCCGTCATACGGCCCCAACTCTGTCTATCCAGACTTCTTTGGCCAGTTACCAATTAATCGTCACAGACGATCCATATCAGACCGTTTCGGGACATTATCTCATCTTGCATGTCCAGAGGCGCACCCAAGGGGAGCATTGGCTTAAGCCCAGCCGCCAGGATCGAACGCCTTTGTTTGTTCTTCGCGACACTGTTCAATATAACTACGGAACCCAGTGACCAAAAATGAATGGTTCTGACCTAGCATCTCACTGGTTATCTAGTGCAGCGGCATGTTGCGCCCAACAGCAGTAATCTAGTGACAAGGCCAGCGGATGGGCTTATGGGCCAATATGTACGGTACACAACTGAGACGAAGATTTTCGACGGCAAAGCAAGCCAGCTTTCACAGTTCAGTACTAAGCCGTCATTTATTGTACCCGTACGCGTCTGTGGCGTCTGCGGCCTGTTTGCAGTGTGTAGGTACTGTCAATAGGGCTGGGACTTCGCCCTAAAATAACATGTCTAGCTCCCCCCCCCCCCCCCCCCCGTAATTGACGAACCTGGTAGCCCCGCTCTCTGCCACAAAGCTGGCAGCGCCTCTGCGCACACTTCATACAGATGGGCAGGAGGCGGGGCACAACGCCCACTTGGAGGACCCAAAGCCCAACAAGTCATTTTCAAAAACGCATTTCACTTTGCTTCCTGTCGTCTGAAGCCTTGCACACTAAAGCTTACCAAGTGGAAGTTGTTTGAAGTTTTTTAGGTCAAGCAATGAGTCATCTTTGCCTCGACTTTGTCCACCTTGGGATCAGGCATGACTCGATTACGCCATGCCATGGAGTTAGTAACTTTCTTTGCTTTTTTGTCTGCTGCCTCGGACCTTTATGCGTCGCTGCGCGGAATCAACACGTCCAAGATCGCAGCGTCCAGCGTCCACTTCATCCAAAATGCGTCCAACTCTGTGCCCACTGGCGGAATTTGTATCGTCTAAGCCAGGAACGTCCATATTCATAACGTGCAATATTCATAGCCTCCTGCGATGACAACATTCGAAATGCGTCCAAAGTACGTAACAAAGGCGACACATTACGTAACTACTAGATGTTAACTTCTGATGCTAAATAGCACGACATAACACAATCTTCTCAATTGCTGCCGACAGAGGGTATGCCAAATCCCATTTTCCTTTTTTACCAGCAGATGACAAAGCTTAACAAGCGCTCAAATGATGGTCGCGCGACAGCCACAGTGGCACGTGGTTGGCACGAATCGCCCAAAATATCTGTTGCTTGGCAGCCCTTCACTCCGTTCAAATATAATTTGAACATACCACCAATGCGATAAACCAAGCAAGGGAGCCACACAGCGGGATCATTCTGATTTATTAAATATGCCTGCTACCGAGCACGTCCTGACACGGTCACATTTGCATGCCTAAACAAAATGTTGTTCATGCATACCCATGGATAGCGGTATTACTTGGGCGGCGCTGTACCGGTCTGCACCGGCACTATGGCGCGGCATTGCGTCGCCACTCGTCGCCCAGCCGCACACAATCCGCTGCGCATCCCTCTATCGGGTTATGATGGTGTTGTATTATCGGGTGATATATATATATATATATATATATATATATATATATATAAAATCAACACAGTTGAGTCATCCAAGCGCTGTCATTTAGGGATACAAAACTGACCCACTTAGTGTGCAGTATAAGAATTCTGCCATGCCTTTGAGAATGAAAAACTTGAAGCCTTAGTACCAAAAGCCTGTCAAACGCGACATTTTCCGCAATACACTTAATAACCCCGCGGGCACTTTACTGACGCTTTTCCACGGGCTCAGGAATGGCAGCTGAAATCTGAAGATACGACAAAGATCCCACCAGCGATTGGCCGAACACCGCCGGGTACTGGTCCGCGCGAACCGACTGATCGCGACAGCCCCGTTCGCGACGACCAATCAGCGAGAATATGCCGCGTACTGGCCTGCTAATTGGCTCGAGCAGATCTGTAAAGCGCAAATGATTGGCCCAAAGCCGACATCCGCCTGCCTGATTTGCACGTCGGACGCAGCAGCGATTTGCTTGGAGAGAAGGCTGCAATGTCTGCGGTCCTTTTGACCGGCCGCCTCGTGCGCCATTCTTGCGCCTCAGCCCGGTGGAGATCAGACCACCAGCCCGGTGGAGATCAGACCACCAGTCCGGTGGAGATCAGACCACCAGCCCGGTTCGGTGGCGGTGTGGCCGGCTGGGCCGCACAGACTGGGTCGCGCTGCATGAAGACCGCGTAATGCGGGACGACTTCCGGCGGTCGACGGCAGAGCTAGGGTCCAACCCGACCGGGCAGACTTGCCTGGGACGCCACGCATCCAACGTGGCGTCGCACCTCCTCTCTCTCTCTCTCTCTCTCTCTCTCTCTCTCTCTCTCTCTCTCTCTCTCTCTCTCTCTCTCTCTCTCTCTCTCTCTCTCTCTCTCTCTCTCTCTCTCTCCTCTCTCTCTCTCTCTCTCTCTGTCTGTCTGTCTGTCTGTCTGTCTGTCTGTCTGTCTGTCTGTCTGTCTGTCTGTCTGTCTGTCTGTCTGTCTGTCTGTCTGTCTGTCTGTCTGTCTGTCTGTCTGTCTGTCTGTCTGTCTGTCTGTCTGTCTGTCTGTCTGTCTGTCTGTCTGTCTGTCTGTCTGTCTGTCTGTCTGTCTGTCTGTCTGTCTGTCTGTCTGTCTGTCTGTCTGTCTGTCTGTCTGTCTGTCTGTCTGTCTGTCTGT